ATAGATTTAGTAGATGGGGAAAAAGAGTTTATTCTTATATAAAATTTAGTCATATTACATTTAGTGTATTATTTTAATCTGTCAGGATATTTTGTTTCATGTATAATTCCAATGTCTTTTCCATGCTTTCTTGCTTTATGTAAGTGTAGTGGGTATATAAGGAAATATAGGAGAATGGCTCTAGAACTAGGAAAAGAAATAATCCTCAGAGAATTGAAGGATTCAATAACAATTGTAAGATTAACTTGTATCAGCTGTAATCCATCCTAGCAGATGAGTCATAATCTGTAAGTACTAGATGATCTAGATGGGACTCTTGACTACATAAAACTAAAGAACCGGTAAGCTTATCAGTTGCACAACTCAAAACTCATATTCTTTTTCAGTAGAAAAGTCAAGTGTTCGCTTCGGCAGCACAGATACTCAGTAGAAAAATCTGAAGCTCTACTTGGTTACCAGAGATCTCCATACAGCAAGGAATACCATTGTCACAAGATATTGGGGCTAGGCAGGTGAGGCAGACCTCTCAGAGAAGCTGGTCAGCTGGGCTGTGACAGCATACCAAACCTCAGATCTGACAGATTGCTGTTGTTGGAGAGTGTGAACCCAGCATAGGTAGATTTTCCTAGGGTCCAGAAGTAACAGTGTAAGCTCCAAAGAAAAACAAACAGGGCTTGGGGATATGGCTAAGTGATAAAGCATTTGCCTAGCATGACCAGGGCCCCAGGTTCAATCCTCAGCATCTTAGAAAAACAAAGAAGAAACAAACTGAAAAGAACAACAACAAAAATGTTTGCAGATCATCAGGAACCCCTGGTGTTAAACAAATAATAAAAATCATTGGACAGTAATTACTCATCCATGTACCCTTTGATGGGACCAATGAAGCACAACATCTGTCCCACTCCTGTCACAAGGGAGGGAAGTTTCACCATGGGGCAGTCTGAACACTTCTTGTTTACCCAGCTCCCTTCACTTTAATTTTATGATCATCAAACTTGTATAAAGTGATGTAGTTTCACAACAGATCTTAAAACTAGCAATGAGGTGAACTGAGAGAGGGGCCATACTTATTTCAGTCCCCAGAAGAGGATTTATTTTTGTATCAGTATCCTAATTTCCTACTGAATGTTTGAGTGTGCTTAGCATTTGTCTGCCTTGGAGAGCTTCATCAGCACTAGTTTAGCTGACATTGATTCTGGAGCTGAAAATTAACAGGTGACCCTGAGTAAGAGTAACTTATGTTTGTTTGCTCCTCTCTAGAAACCAACCAGTATGCTTTCTTTTTGTGAATGAGGCAAACACCAACTCTACAAGATGATGAGGTTAAATCTTTAGCCTTGGTGTTGGTTCAGGTTCTAATTTAAACTCTCTTCTCCTTTGATTTCATCCACTTTTTTAATGTGGCTAGTAGAAAATTTAAATGTTTATACAGTATTTGGCAAGCAATATAATTTTAGTGATCCTGTTGCTTGAGAGTCTCAATGTTTGCATTCTTTCATTTTTTTTTCATTTTTATTGGTACTTTTTAAATATACAGTACAGTTACATTTATCAAAGAACTAGGACTAGAGATTCCATTTGACCCAGCTAGCCCTCTGCTGAGTATTTTTCCAAAAAGAATTAAAAGAATCATACCACAGGGATATGTGTACACCCATATTTATAGCAGCACAGTTTGTAGTAGCTAAAACTTGGAAATTGCATTCTTTCACTTCTAAAAGCAATACTCTATTAAAGGTGGACAACTCAGTTTGGATGAAACACTCCAAAATTAGTATCTACCCCCCAGATCATTCACATCCTTCTAAGAGGCTAAAAGAAAGGGGACATTTGCTTTTTTGAATCAGAAATAGGCATAAGACAAATACACGTAAATGTGATGGGATGTAATAAAAGACTCAAAGTAAGCAAGACTACCTGTAGACAATCTGTTAACAAAACACAGTAATATATACACCTGGACAAGCCTCAATCCCATGAGGAAACCCAGCAACTTTAATTACTTTACCTACAGGCACTACACTGAGAATTGTTTCTTTCCACTTGAGTGGAAGCACACTGCTATGGTAGAGCAAGTTGTCACGAGTTCTGCTTCTCTTATGCCAGAACTGGCTTCGGAGGCTCATTTTTATATGTGTTATATAGATAATAATTAATACTTGTAGTACACTGATAACAATAATGAGCACAGGCTTTAGAGTCATAATGATCTAGGTTTGATTCTGGCTTTGCTGCTTGCTCAGTGACCTTGGGCCAGCAGTTTCACCTCTGGAGCCCTACCTGCTCATCTGTAAAACAGAAATAGCAGAGCCACAACACCTAATGGACCAACACCCTGCCTCTGCTTTTAGCCATTCTTCACTGTCAGTTCTGAAATCTGCTCTGCAAATATGATTGTGCCTCTACCTTTTGCCAAAAACCGTTATTTTTCACCCCAAGCTTCATGGAAAGAACTTTGGGGGGGGACCATTAACATAGGCTTTTGACATTTGTCCTCTGTAGTCTGTGGAAATTACTGGAGAACTTATATGGTGAGTTATGGTTTATCAAATATATCCATGGTTGACAAGGAGAGACAGCCAGTTAGGAAATGACTGCAGACATTACATGTACAGAAATGTTATGCATGTTTTTATTGCAGCCCAAATGGAAGGAGAGGAAGCCTGAGCCATCTTAAAGCACTTTACCCAAGAGCACAAAACTGGCCCCAACTGTGAGGCACTCCTTGCAGAATGCTGAAAACTCACTAAGGCTTGCAGAGGGAACATAAGCAGTTAGGGGGTTGGTTCCAGGTGCTAACTGATCTTTAAGTAGTTGGATGTGAATCAAAAAAATTTTTCAGTTTTTAAATACCTGTCATCCAGGTGTAGTGGTACATGCTTGTAATCCCAGGAATTTGGGAGGATGAGGCATGCAAACTGCCAGTTTGAGCCTCGTCTGGGCAACTTGGTGACTTAGCTAGACGCTGTCTCAAAATTAAAAATTACAAAAATTTAAAAAAAAGAAAAAAATTGAAGGGCTGAGGATGTAGCTCAGCGTGAAGGCTCTGGGTTCAATCCCCAGTACTAAAATAAAAATCTTAAAAAACACTTGTTAATCCTTATAAGCTACACTGGAGAGTTTGCTTCATACTGGGAGGATAAATCCCCTTGTGCGTACGAAGTTTTACAATTTGTCTTATCCAGCCACCTTTCATCCTCTTTTCCTCAAACTAAGGTCCCTGAACTCATCTCTTTTGCTAGGCTGAGAGCTGTCTGGGGAAGGCTCTGCTCTTCTCAAAGTAATTCCTGTTCTACGAAAACTATTTCCAGGCTCAGGGTATCATTAGTTAGTTAAAGATAATACACCAGTTTTGGAACAATATCAAATGGGACTTTCATTATTCAGTGAGAATTTGTACCTCTTTGCCACATTAGCCGGCACCTTGTGAGGAAATTCAAGCACAGATTAAATCACAGTGGCTTACAGATTAAGCTCATCATTTTATCTGGCCTTAGCTTAAAAAGATTAATTCTAGGGCTGGGGATTTAGCTCAGTGGTTTTGCTGTTTGCCCTACAAGCACAAGGGCATGAGCTTGATCCCCGGTACAAAAAAAAAAAAAAAAAAAAAAAAAAAAAAAAAT